AGGAACTTAAGGAAAAATTTCTTAACAGTGAGGGTGACAGAGCACTGGAACAGGCTGCCCAGAGAGGTTGTGGAGTCTCCTTCTCTGGAGATCTTCAAAACCCACTTGGATGTAGTCCTGTGCCACGTGCTTTAGGTGACCCTGCATGTGCAGGGGGGTTGGACTAGATGACCTCTAGAGGTCCCTTCCAACCTTAAGCATTCTGTGATTCTATGATATCCAAACCTGAATATGCAAGCATTCACCTGGTGATGAAGCTGGGGAGCCTCACAACATTCTCCTCTCTGTTTTGTTTGTGTATTTGTGTTTAGTTGGTTGTGGTTTGTTTTTAATTTCTAAAGCACCTATAAGCTCTGTAGCAGCAATAAAAAGGAAGCATTTTACTCTTTTGAAAACAGATGGAAAAGTCTGTGTGCTACACTGTGTGCTCCATAGGCCTGTTTGCCTTTTGTTTCTCTTTACTAGTTGGTTGGAATGGATAGTATTCATTTCCCACAAATATGTGAGTTAGAGAATTCCTACATATCCAGCCGCAGGGATTTGAGGGATTTGTACTTTGGAAGATGAAGTACCCATCAAAGAAGGAGGTGGCTTGTACAGTTTCTCTGTTGATTTTTTCCCCCCCCCCCCCATAATTTTTCTTTCCCCAAAGGCTTAAGAATTGCCTTTTGTCATTTTTTTAGGAAAGTTACCCTGAAATTCATCTGCACTTTATTTGTCTGCTTTCATTGGTACCCTTCATGGGCAGCTGTGGATTAAATGAGGAACAGTAGATGAATTCCTAATTTCCATATTTAAAGCAGTGTACTGGGAGAGTTTCATGTGTCCCTCCCCCCCCCCTTTTAGTTTTTAAAAGTATTTTAGTTTTCTGTTTATGTGTTGAAACATCTCCAGACTGTGTTGGTCTTTTATGCCATTAAAATGGTGTGGCAAACATCTGTTTGGTTGTATAAGTGGTGTGTAGCTATGTATATATAAAATAGGTCTTTTTTGTCTGTGAAATTCAGAAGAGGGAAATATTGCACTTGCATATCCTGTCCCAGATCCTCATCTGGTGTAAATTGATGCAAGACAGCTGAGAAGATCTGGTTTGATTTATGTATCAAACATTCAGCAAGAGCACACAGCAGCATGGTTAATCTGCTTTACCATCACAATTTAAAAGCAGTATAAAAAGGAGTCTGGTTTCAAGACCCTTGAAACTTGTCACCCCATTTTCTCTCCCCAAATCATATTTAAAAGCCTAATTTCAACTGATCATCTTTTACATTGTAGAATACAAATTAGGTTAGATGAAGAAATGCTAATCGTCTTCCTTATCCCTTCAGAAGGCTGTTTGTGGGTTTCGTTATTGAATCAAATTTCTGTTAAAGTTTATAAGAGCCGGAGCAGGTCTTGAACCTTTCTAAATTTTGTTGACCCACATGGAATAACAACTTTCTTTCTCTACAGACTCTTCATACTCGGAACCTCCTGATGTTCAGCAACAGTTGAACCACTATCAGTCTGCAGCTCTTGCCAGGAACAATAACATCAGCCCAATCCCACTTTTTGGGAGTGTTGCAGGAGTGGAAAAAACAGAAGCTATCCTTAACTGTGAATTTTGTGAATTCTCCTCGGGTTACATACAAAGCATTCGGCGTCATTACCGTGACAAACATGGAGGGAAGAAACTCTTCAAGTGCAAAGATTGTTCCTTTTATACAGGCTTTAAGTAAGTATTGTGCTAAACAGATAAACTGAACTTGTAAGGGGATTTTTTTTTGTAGCACTTCTAAAATCCTAGGAGAAACATGATCAATGGTGACCAGGGAAAGAAACATAGGAATTGCCGTGACAGATCATAGCAGTATCCACGTAATCATTTTTCTTCACTCCTGCAACAGCCAGTGCCATCTGCTGAAGAGAAAGGCAAAAGAAACCCTTGCAGTAGGGTGTTCTCACTACAGGAAATAGTACAGGTAGTGTTTTTTCCCCTCACTGGAAAGGAGGCTGGTCCTCACCATCAAGAGTGAGGGCTTGCCTCTCAAAAATAATGTGTATATTTGGAGCAATTATCTTAATACATGGGGCAGTCAAATGTTCTAAGAGATAGTAGAGTTTATATTCCCTCTCTGAAGAAACCTGTCATAAAATTCTTTCTCCCCCAAATTTACATTGCTGAAATTCAAAGCATAGTCCAAAGTGCCTGATAGCATATAGAAACATTTCAGCAAATCCAGTTAAAAATTGCAAATTTTCAAGTCACAGCTGTCTGTGTGTGTGTTTAGCCATGTTCCCTAAGGAAAAAAGATTCATGCAGTTGTGCGGTTTCTCAGTTTCCTTCTGATATTTTGAACCCTCAGTCATAACCCCCTTAGCTAATATTTGGGATCTCAAAGCTATTATGTTCTTAGGAGATCTGTGAAAATAGATAGTGTGTTTGGGTAAAGGAGAGAGGTTCTGTTGAAGCCTGTGTTCAGCCTTTCCTATTAGACATGAGAGATTCCATATGAGACCAGCCTCAAGATATAGATCTATAAGGGTTCAGGCTTTGTTGCTTTAGCTTCTTGCTGGTTATATGGCATAACATTCTGTTTATGCCTTAATTGCAGATTACTATTTGTCTTGAACATTTCCAACTGTTACCAGGTCCAATGTATCTTTTTACATTTTCCTATTGCTCTTTTCTCCTACCAGGATGAAGCAAAATTGCTTTAAATCAAGATGTAATTAAATATGTTCATAATTATATAAAAGAAGTTGTGTTCTTTATTGTGGTGTCTCAAACAGAAGGTTTGAGAGGGTTTAAGTCTTTCCTCTTAAAAAGTACAGGCTTCACATGTATTCTTTCTTTAAAAAATAACAAAAATAAATAAACCCTTCCAGTCACCAAAGAGAATTAAACACATGAAAGCATTCCCTGAAGTCGATAAAATGCACCTGTTGACTTCAAAGACCTTTGGATCAGACACAAAGTCAATTGTGTGAGTAAGCTGTTTTATATTCAGGCTAACAGACTTGGAGAACTTCAAAGGGAATTTAAATTTTGTAATTTAATGCAGCAAGTTTCTTAACTCTTGTAAGCTTTACCACTACCCCAGGAAAAGTCCCCGAGATTACAAACACCTCTAATTTCTGTACTTGTGCTTGTGGTTTGATAGGTACATAGGTAATTTCCTCTACATGCATGTCTCTTGCATCTTTTAAGTATGCAGTTAATGGTACAGTGAGATTTGTTGTGCAAAAGTACTGTTCATTTGTGGTGTATTATCAGTCTTGTATTTTCAGATCCTCATAATTGAGGCTTTCAAACTTATCTACTCGGTGCCAAATTTGCTGTGAATGCAAGTCTATTTCCTATCTCAAGACTGAATCTTTCAGCTGTTCTGGGACTGCTCCTACAGAGAGAGGTCGTTGAGGATGTTTGCCATCAAAAATAAGTCTTCCTTCACCCTCAGAAGTCCAAGATAGTTGAATGGATTTTATTCAACTTTCTAAAATGTACTCTTTGTGTTGAAAACTTCTATGTACTCTCTCTTTGCCAAAGACAGACAAGCACAAACAAGCACAAATTTGGAAATACTTTTGCTTTCTTAACTATAGCAATGTGACTATAGAGGAACCACTGCAAAAGAATATCTTGTCAGAATGTGTGAGAGTTAATTAGGGATATAAGCCTGCAAACACCTATGCTTATGTAATATTCATGTGAGTAGTCCTGCTGAAATGCCATATGGCTTTAGGAAGACGAGGCTAGTAGTATCTGTACCATTTTACACAGCACTTTTGTAACAGAGCTGTGACACTTCAGCGTTCCATAAATACCTCTCTTGACTGCTTTCATGTCTCCCTCCTGTTTCATAGATCTGCTTTTACTATGCACGTGGAAGCTGGGCATTCGGCAGTTCCTGAGGAAGGACCCAAAGACCTTCGCTGTCCTCTTTGTCTATATCACACCACATACAAACGTAACATGATTGATCATATAGTTCTGCACAGAGGTAAAGATGTTCCTGTATGTAACTATATCTGATAAAGAGAATGCTGAACAGTGCCTCTCTCTTATAAATTGGGTCTTTTAAGATTTCTCTTCTCTGTCTGTGAGCACAAATATGTTGAATAGATCATCAGGCCTTCAGTAACTTTTGTTTTTAAACCGTACATCTTATTTCTTTCCTGTGAAATAAAAAGATAACCAATTAAGTTGATAGAAGTGGGGCAGATTTAATTTTTTAAAAAGCTTTTTCCTCTAGAGAGGTTAATGATCACCAAGCACCTGTTTAGCAAGAGTTACCCTAATTTATAACAGCGTGTTTTCCAATGTATGTGTTTTCTAAAGTGCTTGCTATTCTAAACACTGTGGTAAGATGCATCAACTATAGAGACTTACAAATATCCCTTGACTGCTTGCTTGAAATTTCTCTTCATGACATGCTCCTCACCTGTTCCTAGGAACAAAACAAAATTAGTGGGCTTTTTGCTTTTTCTTTAGGACTCTTCCTCTCCTACCCCTTTTCTTTTAACCCAGCTAAAAGCAAGATTAGGAATTCCTATTCTATTAACCAGAGGCTTACGAGCTCAGAAGAGAGTTCTTTTTGGGCTTTCTGGGCTGGGATTCCTACCCACAGCTATCACACTTGATGCTTGTAGATAGTCTGTTGACTGCTGAAATTCATACCCATGTGTTGGGATAATACTCTGCCTGTTTGGAGGCCATCCAGATTTTTACAGTAGGGTATTGCTGGTGAGCAAGCACAAATTTCATGTGCCATCTTTTTCTTGGAGGAGCTTCTAGTGCTGCAACCACTGTCATAATTCATTGTAGCATTCCACTTTCCAATGCTGGTTGCTTAGGGTCCTCCTTGTACCAAAGCACTGAGGTAGACCTAGTTCATACAAACTTCTGTCTGTTGGAAAGGCTATTTTAAAGAAGCATTTAGGAAAAAGGCAAAGTACTGTTCAAGGAACTCAAAAGACATATAACAAAGCTGCCT